AGGACGCAGCATGTATTGGAGCAGGGCTCGGCACAGGTGGCTTGCAAAGCAAGCTGGATATCGTTTTTGAGGGAAAAAGCAAAGGGGATATCGTTTTTGCGGAAGAGCATAAAGCTGTCCTGCGATCTGCTGCCGACACGCTGCCGGCATGCCGCCAGCAAATAAACAAAGGTTTTGTTTACAGTGAAATGAAGATGAAATGGCACCAAAATAGGTGTGTAGATGGGCAATGGGGATTTGGAACTATGTATGAAAAATTATGTGAACTAAGGGCATGGCAAACTTTTTTCGGGGTTAGGTGGCTTTCAAGCCACCTGGATGGCCACCTGAGGTGGCTTGGCGCAAGCAAAGTCATATAATTCCTATTGTTCACATGATTTTTTCAAATTTTTTACATAAAAGTAATCTACATCTAATATTCTACAAAGCAGGTCTTGTACCTCCCCAAACCCTCTCCTCCCCGCCTAATTACAGCCCTCCAAATTATCTAGATGGCAGCGGCAAAGGTGCTCTAAGCTCGCGGTGGTGCGCGACGGACGCAGCATGCCGCCAACCCGGAGAATACAAACAATCACTAGGTCTTATTCCCTATTTATTCCCGATTTTGAATTCTATTTCATTCTTTTTGTTTTCATGTTTGATTTGTTTGTTAGCGTGTCAAGGGGGATGTCGTACTTTTGTGGCGAAGTCAAGGGGGACTTCGTTTTTTGCAGTTTCAACTAGCCACCTCGTGCCGAGCCCTGTATTGGAGCGTGATTTCTGTCAGCGAAGGTTTAGGTAATTTTGGCTCTAAAAAGGAAGAGAGGCAACGGTTTGATTCGCTTTCTTCAGTATATAATAGATTTTTGGGCGTTCTGATTGTCCAATTCAAAAAAGTCCCAAATTTATGTGAACTCTCCGATATTTATGCTCTGAACCAAATCTGTTGGTTTGGTGTTGGTCTAAACAAATTCGAAAACGGGTATTAGGACACACAAGTTCTTGGAGCATTCTACATAATGTTGTTTGGAGTAATATTGTATACATATACCCAAAATCGGTGCCATGTGATTGTTTGAGGTTAAGGAAGGAAAGTGAGATTTTCATAGAATGTTAGTTAGTAGTTGTGCAGATCTCCGGAAAAAAGTCTGATTGCAATGCAAATTTCCAAACTTGCCATTGCACAATGACCTGCAGTCGTAAATCCTGTTCGTCTTCTATTTCAATGACACGACTAGCATTCACACCTATTATTTTGGGTCAAGACCAACCTTTGCAGCGGCTCACGACAATCTTAGCGTAATTGACGATTTGATTGTATATGTGTGCTCGGTCAGACGCGCTGATTAGCCTTGTAGAGAAATCAAGTGGTTTTTCTCATATCGCACCTTTTCCCGAAATGCGAATTGCTCTTCAAACATTTTTGTGGTGAGTTTCGCTAGTTCATTGGTGCAAGATAAGAAATGGAGTTATGGAGATAAGGGGAAGTAGCCCGTAACTTTTGAACTAGCACTTGGGAGAAGTTCTTCCGCATACTATCCACAGTGTCATTTCGAACTTTTATGGATTTGATAGATTTACCTCTTTTTGGCTCCGAATTCTCCATGAGTTTTTCTGATTTCCCAATTTGTTCTATGAATTCTGGCTTGTGAAACCGACATAGTAAGAGAGTTTTATGGGATAGGTTCCGATCCAATGAGCTCGGTTGTCGATCTGACCTAGTTTGTCGCATATCGGCGAGGAATACGATGCATACCATATAATTCGTGGAGAATGTCGCTGTTATCGATTTTTAAATAATTCCTTGAAATAGTTCTTAGCAAGTATAAATATATGGTGGTATCAAATTCTATAATTGAATGATTTTGCTTCCATAAGTTTTTGAAATGAAGATTTTATGAACTAAAAACTATAATATAGTAACATTTCTGAACTTGTCAGAAATCGTCTTATCCGACTTCCTCTCTCCCATTAAGATTTAGATGCTCGCTATCTTGACGTAACACTCGATCTAAGCGCTATATTCTTCAAGCCAGAGACTTGTATGAGGTCAAACCGAAATCGCTCTAGCATTTTCCAAAAACTTGTAGAATTTTTTTAGCGGTTTTGTGCACTTTCTAGCGTCACCTTCCTTTCTACAAGCACAATTTGCAAAACAAAGAAAATCGTCAACATAAATCTTTTTCGGCATTTTATTTGAGAATATTAACTCTTAACCCTCGACCAGCACAGTTTTGCTCTGGATCATAAAACTAATTCAACCTCCATTTTTATTTTATTTTATTGCAACGTTTTCAGATTTTTGGTGTGTTTAATCGCAATTACAGTTAGGGTAAACTCGTGCACTACCATATTCACCAAAGATCTGTGTCTTGGGAAGTACATGATTTCTTGCTTTTAACAAAATCCATGCCTAACAAACCAATCAGAACGGAAAATAGCGATTGCGATAATGGTGCCACAGGCCTTTCGGTCTAACGTATTGAATGACTACTTTGATGCAAAATGTTAAGCCATTCAACATTATGCATACCTCAGCCAAAAATGTTTTCGAATTGCTGCGACTTTTATGTTAATGTCATGACAATGAGGTCTTACAATTGAGAAATCCAAAAAGTGGAGTCAAAGTTCTCTTGTAGTCATGATAAAGGCAGGTAAATGGGGGAAATAAGGCACGTGTTCAGAACAGAGAAGCACTGATTTTGGCTCCTTGAGGCTGCACACTTTTTTTGCAGAATTGTAGTCTTTATCATCCTTTCATGTTTTACTGCAACTCTTTTTTTAATGAAATCTATGCTAATTTTTGGTCCCATGTCTCTTGTTACAACTTGCTCATCCTTTACTCGAAACATTTTTTTTGAGTAAATCCCACAATACCGTTTAGAAGAATTTTGTCAACTTGATCAGCTAACCCCGTCATTTTGATAAAAGCCGGGGTCAAAAGAAGCCGAGTCTGCGCAGCATTGACCCGGTACAGTTGCCACTTTATACCCGAACAGGTGCTCTTTTGGCGTTTACATCTGCCAAGGACTCGCATCTCTATGCTGTGAGATCGCTTAGTCTCTACCAGATGAATCTTTTTGTAGCCAAAAAGATACTAGTCTCGCGGTTTTTGAGAAGTGCACTATTTTTATTTACATTTTTTCCAGAAAATATCACCGTATTCCAGCAAACATCATACACCTATGTTTAGAAAGCACACTCATGTTTTGCACGCTTTTAGAGCCAGATTTTTTCTGATGATGCTTGCCCAGAACTAACATCCAGACTCTACAACAAAAACAGGTTCTTCGCCAGGTAGGCACACTTTCAAGATTGGAAGAAAACTGGAACTGGCAGCTATTTTTTATGGCACGCGAGAAGTGAGCAGATTGAGGAAGGGAGATTTCTGTGTTGGGTAACGGTTTGGAATTTTGCTAATATATTTTTGTTCAGGAAGGTTTTTTGCTGTCTAACTAGTGAGGTTAGATTTCTTCAAAACTTGACTATTTTTTGTCAGTAAACGGCTACCGGATAAATGTAAGACCTTATGAAAACTCTAGGATGGCGTCAATCTCCCCCCCCCCCCCCTCCTCCTCCTCCTCTCGGCGAGATACCAAGTCCGTCACCGATTATCATTGTTTACCAAATGGCTAATTGCATATGCATCTCACATTCGTCATTTGTCACATCGCCACGGCTGCTTAAGACCATAAGAGCAAAGAAATATTCAGCCATCACCGCGCACCCTCATGAGCTTGGAGATTTTCAATGACATGTATGGTTTAGATATAGAATTTTGATATTTAATTTTGTTTTTTTTCGCTATTGAGAGCTTTATGAATGGTTGGAATAGATATGCATATTTACACGTAACTGAAAATTATTGATGTATATCTCCTCTATAAACTAAGCTCTTTATAGCGATTGTTTGTCCTATGCCACGAATTTACACGTCGCAAAAGACTTCTCAAATCTGAGAATTTTATCTTGCTAGCACAAGGACGATTCACCAGCTATTTTTTTTCCATTGATATATGACAAAACCGGGAAGGAGGGGGGGGGGGGCGAGGAAGTCACATATGTGAACAATATAATTCCTATCCCTCCAGAACTGGTTATTTATAAGAACTACCCTTTTAATCAACTAACATTATTATGATATTCTAACTCCACTGCTTCCTGACTCTCCACTCATTCAATTCCTTGAGTTAATTTTCCGGATTGCCTTAATCCTGAATTTTCACAATTTTCAACCCTCTCATTTTTGCTGGTAAAATACAGTTTCCTTCAGAAGTGATCTTGAACCCATTTCTAATCTTTCACGCAAGTTTTCTTTTCAGCTCCCCTTTGCTAGATGTAACTGAAAAAGTTTGCGAAGTTCCGAAAAATTTCGTCTTTCCATCAGGTTGATCCATAAGTCTTGCATCAGAATTTTTTTAATCAAGATCCGGTAGAATCTAAAAAAATAATGCAGTCTATGAATGTGTTTTCCAGACAAATGTCTTCATTGGCATATTAAGGAGATAAAAGGCGGCGAGTAGATACAGGCAAACTGTGTGATTTTGGCCTTCAAGAGTACTAGAAGCAGCAGCAAATTTTGTTTTTACGTTTGCTAGAGGGTCAACAGCTTACACTTTTCGAATGAAAAACAGTCGTGTCGCTAAAATGATCGCGAATCCTTAGTTATGGTCTTCCAGTTTTTATGTCGACATGTCAATTTTGTCGCGCATGAAATCTCTCATCTAGTAATAAAACAGGACACTTGTTATATCTTACATAAAATTTAGTTTGAAGCGTTTTTCCAACCATCCGCAGAACGAAATTTGTACTTTTGGTGCAGAACTTACAAATCAACGTGATGAAATTAGTGACGATTTAGTCAGCCCTATTTCGCACATCTCAGTCATATCATCTATCACATGAATTGTTGTCTTCTTGTCACATATTGTGCATTATTTGTACAAGCCGCTCACGATTCTCTTTCGAACTGTCTGATCTTGGCCTTCGATCTGCTGCGCGTCCAACGTTATTTGTCCTAGAGTACGAGTGACGGTCCACGATGGGAAAAAATCACGATGAAGCCGAACTACCTATATTGGGTGAGTGCCAAAAGATACCATTTACTCTTCGATATACGAATAGGATTTTGTACCAAGCATCAAGCATTTTGCGAAAATTAGGATTGTTGCGTATATTTTTTCAGAAAACACCTTTTTCAATAAGAAAGTGGCTTTGGTAAGTGGCTAATGTATTAGTTTGGCTCATAAATGAGTTCTCTCGCTTTTTCGGCTCTTACAAATAAGTGGCAGATCACAATTTTCATTATTGTTCACTAAATGAGAAAACTCCTCTGTATGCAAGTACCAAATGTTCCCTGCATCCATCACAACATGAAAACAAAGCTAGCTGGTCAGAGAATTAAGCTTTTGGGAATTTAGCATGTTAAGGCATATGTTTTTAACGATAACAGGAAATCCTGAATGTTTGGATAAGTAATAGAGTCGGCTTTAATCTACTCTCCCACAAGGAAATCATAGATAGAAAACAACATGAAAATTTTTTATGAAGATTTGCATTTTTCTACCCAACCTAATGATTCAAAAATCATAATCTTTCATGTGACTGATTACTGCAGTTCGTAAAATATGTATCAAACACAGAATAACGCATAATGGTTTACTTTGCTCAATTCTATAAGTATTCTCATTACATGGTCAGAAGAATAGGTGAATATATAGGTTGGCTAAAAATGATTTCATTGTTTTCGACTTTTTGAAAGTTTTCCTCTACATTTTTAGTGAACGTCTGGTATTTTTGAAAAAAAATAATAGGTGTCCCAAAAAATGTACTCATTGTTTGATTGTAAATAACTCTCTTGTAATGAAGTGTTTCGGGAAGCTTTGGGTGCCATTTTGTAGAGCGAGGTTCAACTTACATTTACAGTATAGAACGAATCACCCATCTCTCTTCATTACTGTAGCATTATTGCGGAAACTTCAAAGAGGATTTTGAGCCAAAAGGTCATATTTTGCCTCGGAAAGAAAACAAAACAGCCTGAAAACTTATACACTAGGCTAATTAGAGTTGCTGATTCTAATTGTAAAGTTCACAACTTATTATGATGCTTCATTGAAGAGTTATGCCAGGTAAGAGGTAGCAGCTTTTTTCAATGTCCCTTAAAAGTGCGGTCACACCGTTTAGACCCTACTACACAAGTTTTCACAATTTTCTGAAAATTTTTGAAACGGCAGCTTTTCCACATTGACACCATACGTTTCAAGTTTCTACCGTAATCCTACAGCAATGAAGAGAGATAGTGATTCGTTCCATACTGTAAATCTAAGTTGAACGCGCTCTACAAAATGGCATCTACAGCTTCCCGAAACACTTCTACAAGAGAGCTATTTACAATAAAACAGTGAGTACATTTTCTGGGACACCTATTATTTTTTTCAAAAATACCAGACGTTCACTAAAAATGTAGAGGAAAAAAACTTTCAAAAAGTCGAAAACAATGAAATCATTTTTAGCCAACCTATATGTTAGTCTTACTAGCGGGAATATTTACTGCTGAAAAATGAACTGACTCCGAGTATTCAATGATAGGTGTGGCTTCCTACAAACCCCCATTGTATAACTCTAGGCACTTGTGAGCATAGGAAAAGGGCAAGTTTGTATTTAGCAATTTGTCGGCTTCAGAGTTTCCTTCAAATCTTTTGTTGCTATGGCTCGATTCAGCAAGTTATCGAATGATTTTCCACCGAAACGTTTTTCATTTGACCTTAGGGTAAATACATAGTATACATGATTTAATAACATTATTTGTTCAGCATTCGGATTTCTATGGAGTCTGCATTTGTTTCAACAGTGTTTCTTATCAGTGTTGTAACTTATGCCATTTCATACCTTTACAAGCTGAATGCTGAATGATTTGAATAATTCATATCTTGAGCTTTTTTCAATTCTCAGAGTTACTTCCAAGTGCAAGTAACGTTCTGCTTTTCTGCAAGACAGAACTTTTTGCGAAATTTTTCCGAATGTTTTTAGGCCAGACGCAATTACGTTAATGATGCGCGTGTCCGCTTTTACGACGCGCGCTCCCTTTCACTGTTCCATCTCACTTTTACGTTCCATAATATTACAGGCGGTGAATGGCAATTTCTACTATTTTGCAATTTGTAGGTCACTGCTACTTACGACTTTTGGAGAATAAACAAATTCTGCAAGGTATAATAATTACTCTAACACAGTGTGTATTTTAGGCACTAGCTAAATAGAGCTGTAGATGTTTTCAGCTAAATCCAGTAACGAATTCAACGTCCCTAAGGGGCGGAATCATGATTTTGCGTTGTCTATGGGTGGCACTGTTTCTGAATGTTCCCTTTCTAGTCTGCTAGAGTGTTTACTTCATCTCCATAAATAGCATTGACTAGAGGTAGATCTATAAATCTTGCGTTTAACTATTTGGAGATTGCAGTCCCTCCATCAAGATTTTGTCCAATCATGCATATCTTATGGAGCAAAAATGCTATGCGTTCTATTGGTGCTTCGAATAGAGCGCTTGCATATCGAATTTATACAACCTAATTGAAAAAACACTCGAATCCTTTTCAAATTTCTTTCATTAAAAATGCAGTGAGTTTCATCATAATCTCGTTTCTTTTGCTTTGCTTTTATTATCTTCACTTACCAGGGAGGTTTGTGTTGATCGTGTTGTCTGCAAATAATTAAATTTGTTTTTTATTTTTCCCCCATTTCATGATCTTTATATTTATTTTTTGTTCATTTATTTTTTTGCTTCAGTTCTTTTCAAATATGCCTCGACTTTGTTTCAGATAAATTCTTCAATATACGTAATAAAATTTGCTACACAAAAAATGGACAGTAAAAACAGAACTCCTTTTCAAACGTTTTCGAAATTGATTATTCAAAATTTTTAGTGCAGGGGTTACGGTCCAACCTAATGAGTTTAATTATCGCTTATTATTGGCTTAAACTATGATGTAGAAGAGTGAGTACAAATCTTGAAGGTATGTGTTCTAAAGTGATAACTGTTCTTTGCAAACTTGGAACAACTCTGAGATCATGTAATTTCTGCGAAAACGCAAAAAGATGGAGATATTTGTATTCTAGTCAAAACGCTTGAAGAGTCCTTAACAAAGGTGTAAAACCTCTGACCGAATCTTTTTTTTTTCTATGATTTCATGAATCTGTTCTTTGCCTTAGCAATTCAGGGCACTGAAGCGACCCTATTTTCAGCCCTATCTGTAGTATAAGCTCCGTACATTATCAACTTTTCATACAAACTTTAAGCTATACACAGCAAGATTTTCTAATGGATTTATGAAAACCATTAAGTCACAAGAAGTCACAAGAATTTAAGGTACATTACCCATGAAGGCTTGACTTGTTTGGTTTTAAGCGCTTAATGAACTCCTTCAAGTGATGATCCTTTGATCTGTCTTTATCTCTTCACACTTCCAAGGCTCTTCAGGACTTAACCCAAGCAAGAGACACTTAGCATCTCTTATGCTAATGGAGCAGAGACTAATCAGGCCTTAGTGCTTGCGCGGGGGGGGGGAGGTTTTAGCCGGCCATGCAAAGACATCCCGAACATGCGCACGACTCAGCACATCGATTGCATTCACGGAATTTCCGCCTCTAACTAATACCTTTACGCTATCCCGGAGCGCGCAAAGAACCTGGCGCTAAATTGGAGCGAAAATCAAATTCTGCGTTAAGATTCTGCTAGAAACGCTTTTTTGACTGACAAATGTACTCTTCGCTGGTGAGTTCGATACATTGTTTACTCAGAGATTTCTCGAAATTTCGGTCAATATTCGCCCTTGCCCTACCATCAGACATGCTGAAAACATATAAAAATAGATTATAGTGTCAACCTGCCCGCCCTATAATATTTCACATAAATGTTATTCACATTCTGCTGAAAAAAAAACAACGATCCATAATAGATCTTTCTGTTTTACCAGCTTCTCAGACTTCGTAAACACCTGTTTTTCCAATTCTTGGAAGTAGAAATGTGCTGTTCTCGTACAAAGCCTCAATCAAGTAGAATCAACTGAACTTATGTGCATCGCTAACATGCGCGGTATCTGACGACTTAAGGGCCTATAAGTTGCCAAGTTCAGGTTCTTGGTCATAAATAGATTCAATCAAGCGTAGTTCTTCTAATCGTTTGATAGTTTTTCACAAAAAATTTTTCTAATGGTGTTTTTACATATTTTCATAGTTTGACATAAAATATTTATTATTTTGTCATGATTTTGTATCACTGTATATTCAACGCTGAGCATCTGTGAGATTCCGCGCAGAAGGTGCAGTGCCACATAGTGAGTTGCAAATGACTCCGCTATAAACCTCCCAAAAAATGACTTGTTCTATTGGAGACGGTCAAAATTGATAGTGAAGAATACATACTTGTCGACTGCGTTTTCTTCCCATCACAAAAAAAAAATTTAATATGTCTCGACTTTGATCATTTTGACCACATTAAAGGCAGTGGACAGGCAGAATGGACCCCTGTCAGATTTTGGTAGTTTCGGGTAGTAGACCTCCCAAGTACATCATAGCCCCAAGGCCACCTTCCAATTCATGCGCTAAGTCTTGAAAAAAGCGCTTCAAAACTCCACCAGCCCCGCCCACTTCCATTGAGTGGGCGTTATTGGTGGAAGTTTGAAGCTTCTTTTCGGAACTTAGCACATAATTTGCAGGGTGAGGTTGGGACTACGGTGTACTTGGGGGGTCCACTACCCGAAACTACCAAAATCTGAGAGGGGTCCATTTTGCCTGTCCACTGCCTTTAACGGCTAACATCTTGACCAAGTTACTAAATATATGAAAATGGCAAAAAAGTGCATTCTATTCACACACCAACAAGACACCAAAACCCCTAACGTAAACACTCCACAGCTTATTTTGCCATATCGTGTAGTTAGACGTTAAATAAGCTTTCTTCTTAGTCTCCTAACTATTTTCAGCGTTTCAACCCAATCAAGTAGCAGCAATTTTTTCTCACAAGTAATAGAATTTCAAGAAAATCAAACCAGTTTCCTGCCTCATTTTGACGGTGATTATTTGTGCTACGGCTCTACAAAGAAGGAGGGCAGATGTTGCTGTACTTTGTTACATACTCCGCTTCGCTTTATCTTTGATCAACATTCGATTTCGGTGTCCTCTTCAATGTCATCTTGCACATATCCTCTCTGATGCGATCGCTCTAATTTACCAAACGAACAATAATGTCAAGTTTTTGAAACCCGTTGGGTTGCAGATGATAACTCATCTAAATGAGAGCACATATTCATACGAAGGTATATCCATATTATCCCAGAATTCTTGAACATAAAGCACCTGAAACCTCTAACATTGGATCGTTTTTATTTCTTCCAAAGTCACCAATCCAGCAATCTCTTAGGTGTAGCGAAGATTTATAGTTTTCTTCCCTTAGAATTATTTTCAAGCAATATGAAAATACAAAGTTATAGCATTACCAGAACTTCGTTTCATCCCTTGCTTCAGTTGCAGATTCCATCTGCTGTGTCTTCTTCGGAACTAAAATGTGTTGCGAAACTTTTTTCCAAAAGAAATTGTAATCACCCCCTATATCTTTATTCCTACATATGTCGACGCTGTTTGATTTTGAGCGAGATTAATGTACGCCTTTCACACAGTGGTTTTTTTTCCTGATAGAACTCTTTCGTCTACTTCTTCCAAGGCAAAATTCTGTCTGTTTTCACTTTTCTTTTAACTCTGCTCAAAATGACGCATTTTTCTGGTTTTGGGAACAGTTCGTTATTTAGGCGAACTGTGTATCACATTTCCTTGTACTTTGGCAAAAAATAATTCTTAAATAGATTGAATCCTCTATAACATGAACTACTATTCCCAACGGGGTGCGCAGCAAGTGTTACTCAGGCGATGCTATGCATTTATACAGCAGTTTATGTGTGAACACTTCCACGAACCGTTAACGGTCGGTAATATCAGGTTCTAACTTCTAATTTCCTCACTAGTTTGCTTCCATTTGATTTTCTTCAAAATGAATCATGCCCTTTATAACAGTATTCTAAAGACTTTCTAATGAGAATACATTGCATAGATAAAAGCAGTAAAAAAATTACTCGATTCGATTTTTTTTTTAAATTTGGTCATAAAAATCTGAAACTTGCAATAAAAATCGGAGGAGTCGGTATTACAGGTTTTATTACCTGCTCTTTCTAACTAAGCAATGATTGTGCTGATTGAGCATTTCCTTCAGAACATAACTTTTCACAGAGACGTACAATCAGCACAAGCTGTGCTTGGTAAAAAAGGCAGGTCATAAAACCTATGATATCGACTCCTCCGTTTTTATTGAAGTTTTATATTTTCGACCAAACTTAGGACAATCAAAACTTGGGATTTCCTTCTTCACACAAAATAAAAGCGAGAAAATTGGCTGTTTTGAAAATGATGCGACAAAACTTTTGTTCCAACCTAATGTCTATTAGTCAATCTAATGCATGTCAAACAGCAGACATGTATTTGGAACAGGGCTCGGCACAGGTGGCTTACAAGCAAGCTGGATATCGTTTTTGGGACAAAAAGCAAAGTTTGTTTCGTTTTTGTGGCTGAACAGACGCGAAATTTGCGATTTTTTTTAGTCGACGTTTCGTTTTCTGGTAATTTTTTAGGAATTGTGGTCTAGGGTCAAAGGGGACTTCGTAAAAATTCGCAAAAGTCAAGGGGGACTTCGTTTTTTGCATTCCAACTAGTCACCTCGTGCCGAACCCTGACCTGGTATAAACAAATCTTTGTTTTTTGCGCCAAAATTTTGCTTTCGGCTACCTGAATCACATTGAAATCCAATCCTGCAATATTTTTTTTGTTTTACTAGTGTAGGTCCTAAATCACATTGTGCAAACCAAAATAGTGTGACGGTTTTCTGTGTGAATAAAGATAAGGTCTTGCTTCTCTGTTGAACGGAACTTCTTCCTAGTACACAATCCACAAGTGTGACAAAAACTTCTACTGTCACAAAAAATAGCCAGTGCCTCGTAGTTACACTTCACTAAAAAAGCGGAGATATCATTCATTCTATCAAGGTTCATGTTATCAGTTTAATTCGTTTTTCTACTTATTCTTTGTGGATAATTGGGGATTAGTTGTAAATCTGTTTTTAAGGTACCTAATCAGCGTAAAAATTGGAACACATGAAAAGCTTGAACGTTTGAACTGCCTTCTTAATAGCACTGATATTCCCGCGAATATCGAAAGTCGGAGATAAGAGAAAGAACAATGAGAGAATCTCAAATTTTAATCGTTGGGTCACAACTCAGTCATTATGGCTTTTGAACTTGCATGCTAGCATAGGCGAGTCATCACAAGCAGAGACCTTGGTGCAACTGCGGACGCTGTCAGCGTCTCCTTAATCAAACTCACTACCTGTTTTACCATCTGCTGCCTCTTCCCCAGAAGTACTGCCTTAGTGAGACGCAAATACGACCAGTCTCAGCATGTGCAGACTCGTTTACGTTTCTCAAAGGGTTTAGTCTATTGTTTTTTTTGTCAATGGTGATCATTATAAATTACTGCAGGATAATAACGCAATACCAAAGAAAGTTGCTCACCACTCTCGCTCCTACACATTCTTATACTATAATACAATTTACAATGAAAGATTTTCAGGTCAGATGCGACGTCAGCTGAAACGAGGCCTTCGCCGATATCTCTACACTGCTGCTGCGATTCTGTTACTCATCTTAATGTATCGATGGTTGATACGAAAGTCTGATGGTCGGTCTATCTACGGGTATAAGGCCGAGGTGAGCACCTTTCAGATTTTATAGTTTTCCAAATTCTGTAAATAGGGCCCCTACAAAGATCTCGCCAAGATTTCAAATTCTTCGGTCCAAAGTTATGTCAGATCCACAAAACCACAGACAGCAACGCTGTATCCATATCATTTTGCAGCGCTTGAGAAGTTCTTTCGAGTTGTATGTAGAAATTTTAAGACTCGCAAATTTTACTGCACGAGAAAGCTGAAAACTTTCAAGCAGCGCGAAGCATGTCAAAGAAAAAATCCGTATAAAAGTAGAAACAAATTAATATATGTTATAAGAAAGAGTCTAGAGCTTTTAATTGTAAACAGAGCCCTATCTTATTCCAGTTTTGTCATAACACCAAATCTTTGAAGTGAGGAAAATCAAAGCTCAAAACACCGACTTAATCATAGATTTCGGAGTAATTTGTAATCAGGTCATTATATTTTTAGGCTGAGAGATCTATTGTGGGTTGCCTAGAACTTTCTTTGGCATAAAATTGTCTTAGCCAAATCTTTTGAAGAGGAAGTAACCCTTTGCTATCATATGTCACTATGACAAGTCATTCAAAAAATTTTTTTTGACTGTTCGAGTTATTATGCTATAATCGATGCACAAGCAGTAATCTGATAATGGGGTGCATGCTCCTCCGGTTCAGAAGACGCATTTGTATGATTATTACATTCTAATATAGTTCATATTGCCCTTTTCACATCATGTTAGTGTGAAAAGGGCAACATGCTTTCCGAAGGACATACGGAGGATTCAAGATTATGAATATCATAGCTCTTATCTCATCATATTTTGTTATGAAGTAAAAATTTCAATTTTCGAAATATCAACATATAACGACATCCGCTCTGCTGAATATCCTGTGTTGAGAGCTTGACAAATCCGCGAATCGAACTAGAAGGTGTAAAATCACACATATTCCACGCTGAAACGAGCTCCCATTGTATACGCTGAGCCGATCAAATGGGACGGAAAGCTTCCCTGTTTTTTTGCACTGTATTCGAACACTACGAGCTGCTTTGTATTCTTCGTCATGTGAACAAGCTGTTTTACAGCTCAGTGATCAACAAACATTAAAAAAATGCCGATTTTTCAATGCTTTCCTTGCATCTTCAAAACATATGTATTGAATTACAGGATCACATATAACAGCGTACAGCTGACAGGAACTCCGATTTCATGCATTCTCAACGTTGCGTAATTTTTTTAACTTGAAATTTCGCCGTAGTTTCTTTGAAAATTAGGTCTGGAAGACTGTGGTAACTGTGCAGTTCTCCTAATCCTATTTTTGAAAAGGAATGAGGTTGAGAGGGGAGGCGTAGTGCTATAATTGCTAAATTTGATTAAGAAAAGCAGAGTATTTATCTGGCCGATTCATAATCAATGCATTTTTTCTTGCCTCGTTTTTCGGGCTCTGTTTTTGCCCATAACGGCGCTTATCGAAGAATTTTGTTTTGATATTCATAATTTTTCTTAAACTCTTGCTAAGTTTTAGTTTCTTTTTTTTTCTTCATTGCAACATAGCATCAGTCGATAGCAATAGTCTATGACGCAAATCATTAAAAATTCATGCTTTAAAAGTCGTGAATGTTGCGCCACCATCAATGGAATACTTTTCAATGATATCTGAATGATTGTTCTGCTTTTCATACGCATTTTCCTTTCAGGTCTTTGTTCCAAAGTTTCAGGCTTTAAAGCTAAAAGTCTAAAATTTAATTTTTTTGAATTCATTCATTCTACTCTCACAGCGAGTGGTTGAACATCATCATCTGTCGTCATGCCGGCTAAGCTTAAAAACACTAAAGCCACCAAAACCACGTCACTTTGTGCACCAGTTTCAGATGACATGGCTCTTCATTCTCATGCGTCTATTCCTACAACTATGGTGCAGAATTATATCAACACTGGCGGCCGTGGTACGACAATGAAGTCGATCGAGTCTGAGAAGGATCAGCTGATTGCCCAGCTGCATTCGATAATCGTGAACAAAGTACCTGACGCCCTGCCCCTGTTTGAGAAACTCTTGACTTTTCTCAATACAGACCCACATACCATTGTGGAAGCAGAGAAAAGATGCAGGTCTTTGGTGATTTACGGTGTCGAAGAAGCGGGGAATGATGCTGCTCCTTCTGAGAAGCAGAAACATACTGAGACAGCTGTTTCTAAAATCCTTGATATCCTTGAAGTTGAGGCTCGCCCAACGGAGGTGTACCGCATGGGCTCGTCCACTTCTGGGCGGCCTAGACTCATTAAATGTGTTTTGCCCTCCCAGCGATTTGTCTCCAAGGCATTACGGAATGCTCCGAAATTACGTTCCTCAGACGGCCACAACCAAATCTTTATAAGAAGGTCGATGACCCGAGAGGAACGTGCCAGAGACAAAGAGTTGCGAAAAAAAGCACATGAAATGAACCTAGAGCATAATGGCGTAAAAATCTATGTGGTGTATAGAAATGAAATAGTTAAGGCCTCTGACATCCCAAACATAAAATCATCTCTTTCAAAAAACTGAATATGTTCCCTCCAGATAAACTTTTATGCCTTTTGTTCAATGCCAGAAGCCTCACCAACAAATTTCTTGAGCTACATCACCTCCTTTTTTGTATGAAACCTGCTATAGTTTTTATTACTGAGAGTTGGCTAACATCGAACATTTCTGATAATGAAGTGATTTCTGGCTTGCCGTACTCTATTTTACGCAGTGATCGATTCCACAAAAAAGGCGGTGGTGTTTGTGTTCTTATTCATACTGAATTATTGTATCAAATTTGTCGCATTGACTTTGATTCCCAATCTACCTACAACATTGTGGCATTTGATGTTATGTTCGAGTTCCCCAATAAGTATCGATTTGTGTTAACCTACCGACCTCCTAGTGCCACTACACAGGAGGATGATGAACTACGCTCTATCCTATCTCACCTCGCATCCGATAACACCAAGACCATAGTATTAGGTGATTTCAACTTGAGCGGTGTAGACTGGAAAATGAAGAAAACAAAAACGCTTTCCTCCCGTAAATATCTAGACCTGTTTGATTGTTTTGAAATGAACCAAGTAGTTACGTTGCCTACTCGGGGTAACTCCATTCTGGACATCGTTCTTGCTTCTGCAGGCCTTGTCTGCTTCGAAGGGACTTTACCTCCCCTTGGTTGTGCTGACCACGCTATAGTCAAATTTACCTTAGAAATGCCAAATATCAAGGAATGCACAAATTTAGTGCGGGATTTTGATTCTGCTGATTTTGCTACCATCAATAGAGAAATAGCAGCCATTGATTGGTTTCAAGTATTTAATGGATATCTTGATATTGATGATGTCTACTCAAGATTTCTCACAGTACTATATAATTTGGTTGAAACTTACGTCCCGCTGAAAAGGCGTCACGGTTTGTTACCAGATATCCTCCTTATATACTGAACCTTTTGCATCAAAAGAGGAGACTCTTTCTCTCTAAAATTCCCACTAACTGTGAACAATACAGAACTGTATGCCGGACCCTTTCTCATCATCTACAACGTTTTTGGGATTACAAACAAAGGAAAATGGCGAAGAATAATAACATGCGCGCTTTGTTTAATATGATGAGCTATCGTATTTCCAAATCCAAAGTTGGTGCCACTATTCTCGATGATGACGATCACACCCTACTCTCATCTTTAGACAAGGCTAATGCTTTAGCTGAATGTTTCGCAAGTGCTTATACTAGCACTTGCCTGAACATTTCCCAGATCGACTCTTTAACCGGTAGTGTGTTTCCCAACCCAGTTTTCTCTCACGCTGAAGTTTACAAACTTTTAAAAGCGATCAAACCCTCGATGTCATACACTTCCGAAGACATACCTGGTTTCTTCTACAAGAAATGCGCTAAAGGCCTTTCCTTGCCTCTAACGCATATCTTTAACATTTCTTTAATGACTGGGAATGTCCCAAGAATCTGGAAAAGAGCTATGGTTGTGCCCATACCTAAGTGTGCATGTGCAAAAAAGGTTTCCGAGTTTAGGCCAATTAGCATTTTGCCTACGCCCTGTAAGATCATGGAGAAAATCCTGGCAAAATCTATCCTAAAATGGTGCTTAGAAAAGCACTTTTTACCCGATGAACAACATGGATTCATACCCGGCTCCTCTACATCTACACAACTGGTAAAATGTTGCCAAGATTGGATTATGGCACTTAGTGAAGGCAAATCAGTTGATATCATTTATTTCGACTTAAGTAAAGCATTCGATTCTGTCAATCATACTGGGCTTCTCATGAAACTTGAGAGCATAGGCATTAGAACCAATCTTTTAAATTGGTTCAAATCATACCTATCTGAACGGACCTTTGAAGTTCTTTTCCAAGGTCAAAAGTCTACAGCAAAACCCTGTACGTCAGGTGTTCCTCAAGGAAGTGCTCTCTCCCCACTGTTATTTAACATCTATACCATGGAACTACCAAATGTATTGCGAATTGATTCTCGTATTAGTGTAGCAGCTTATGCTGATGACATTAAAATCTATGGTAGTTACGATAACAATGATAGTCTAGTAATACGCGAAAAGTTGAAATTATCTGTTCATCAAATGCTGCAATGGGCTAAAGAATGGGGAATCAAAGTTAATTCATCCAAAAGTCAGATACTGAAATTAGGCGCAGATTCGACTATGTTCGATTATGGAATTCCCTTGCAAGTTCAGCAAAATGTTAAGGACCTTGGAGTGGTTGTTGATTCCTCTTTTAAATATTCATTACACATTGATAATATTGTTTGCAAGGCCAAACGCACAATGTACACCTTACCAAGAAACGTACATGTACATGATATCAACATCTGGCTGAAACTCTGGAAAGCTTACGTACTTCCTGTCTTGGAATATTGCAGTCCAGTTTGGAATCCTGATGTCAAAAAAGTGATCGAAAAATTGGAAAAAGTACAACGTACATTCACTAGAATCTTATTCTACCGAATATTCCCAAATCCTGATTACCCACAGGCTCTTCCTGATTATAAAACTAGACTAACCATGCTAGGACTCAAAAGCTTATATCACAGGAGGTTATTAGCTGACATATTGCTAGCATACAAGATCTTCAAATCTGAAACACGTTTGAGATTTTCGGACTTCTGTATTTTACGTCCCACCAGTATCCGTCGTTTTAGAATTAACGCCTACACACATAATTCCAAAGGATGGCGAAAACGTAGCCTACAGAATTCATTTGGTGCCCGCATGTGTCACATACTGAATAAACTTCCTATGGAACTAATAACCTTGGATCCATATAAATTAAGGAAATTCCTAATCGAACCATCCAATTTACTCTACATTATTTACCTTCAAACACCATCAAATACATACTTTCCCCAGAAATTACACTTACAACAACGTCATTCGCGGCCTTATCAGCAGCCCATGAGCTTTTCCTCTTCCTGAACTTATATAAGAACTCTATAAGATTTGTTATTCGGACACGACTCGAAAGTGAGAGCAAATTCAAAATAATTCTTGCCTTTTTCTCCCACCCCCGTTCTATATTTATTTACCTGTCTTTATCTCATTTGTGAGGTGGTGCATCGTTTACGATGTATTTGATAAATAAATAAATAAATAAATAAAATTTGAAGTTCTTCCCTTTAACTCTCTTTGCTCCAGATTCTCCTAGAATAGGCATTCCAAATAAATCTGCGTAACGACTGCGAACTATTGTGCAACAAGTTGCTTCTTGAATTGAGAAGAACCTTTTGCCAAGAATTCTCGACGCAAATTTTAACGGTGACTGCGGCCCTTTCGTGTCGTAAAAGGTTCCAATGCAAATTTCACTCACTTCAAAAAGCCAAAAAATGAGTAGTTTCGAAATTCCCAACAAGCGAAGTGTGCGCTAATCTACTACACATTAGACCGAATTATAATCTCTCACAGATAAGAAATTCTTAGAAAAATCTTCTGGTCCTTTTGCACTGAAAAGTTCTCCTTGTAAGGGCTACAATCATGAAAAGTTCAAGTTGTGTAGCCAGAGGCTTACTCTTTGCAATCTTATTTTTTTAGTCGCTCCCTAAAGAACTTGCTGTGACACAAATTTAAATTCTAGGAAACATGCACAAATCATGGAATCGACATGATAAATAGTGTGAGAAGTGTTTTTATAGACGTTGTTGATCAGAAACTTTTCGTGAATCTCTTAAAATCTTTTTTTTTGCTTTTGTAAAGTTCGCTTTTGCATAATTGAAAAGGAGAGCGGTGGAAGTTTTTAGAAGTAGCTCATCAAATCAAAAGTATGGTTTTCTGCTGTGAGGTTACTATATCTCAAATTTAGATTTTTCAGCAAAAACCCTCACCAAGTGAAGTCCAGCTCATACGCTAATCAAAACCAAGAATTGCTACAATTTTCATAGAATCTCTAAATCCGTAAACGACTGAACACTTGTTTATCTATAGATGCATCGAATAATTTGCTCTCGAAATCTCGCTTTCTCACCTTTCGCCTTATTCGTACATGTCATCACTATCCATGAACGTTCGACCTCATTTTCACTTTCGTCCAACTTCCTCCACTTGCGCCTTGAAAGATTTTTGATTGAAGGAAGAACAATTATTAGCACTTATATCACCATGGCTTCGAGCATATTCGCATTAAGAGTTTAAATTATGCGTGATTCTTGCTTAAAGAAAATCCTTAATCATCTCCTTTTTCAAGGATATCGTTTTATATGGTTTGGAGAGAAGAGATTTTGAGCATTTTGGAAATGCTTAGGTCAAAAAAATTTATTTGGATGGCAAAGATGCAAGCTGATTGAGTGAAACACTCACGAAGCGTTATTTCAAATTTTAAAACTGAATTTGTAGAAAATTCTTCTATGTACTTTTTCTATGATCTATATTTAATTCTGGTTTTTAAAGTTTTATGAACTGCTCTTTCACTCAAGATAGGTTTATAATGAATGGTGTGTTTACTCCTAGTTATGCTTTTCGAATTTCCTATTCGACTTTTTGTCTTCCGAGTCTCTGAAAGGGTACGCATCATATAATTGATTAATTATTTGTCTACTTACTTATTACACTCAAAATGCACTTTAGTCTGCAGAAAAATCGTTTTGGTGCACCTCGAGTGTTATGAATTGATAATAACCCAATTATAAATATAACTACATATACGCTGAATTCTTGTTTTCGACAATATTCGGAGCTTTGGTGTTTTGATTGGAACGATTCAGTGGGGTGTTTACGCGACTTGTAAGTGTTATTGCCCCCCCCCCCCACCCTCCCCGCCCAAACCCATTCAAAAAAACTCGCTCTACGCTGGTTATTTTGGGTTGTCAATACTCTTTTCTCGTAATGTCGCTTCATTCTGCATTGAATTCGTGCGATTTCCGTAAAACTCTTCTACAGGATGCTGTCGACACTGCTACTTATACAATTGCTATTGACGAGAGAACTCGTCCGTGCAGTCGAGTCAGAAACTAAGCTTCCGCATCCGCTGGTCTTATTGGACAGGGACTTGCAAAATCTCAATTGTCTGTTTTTTCGAAGAAACTGCAGTAATCATCTGGCTGATTTATCATCGGCGAATCGATTGTTTTGGAAAGTAAGGCTAGCATGTGCGATTAACTTTTTTGCGTAAAGAATTGTAAAAAGGCATCAAAACAATGTTAACCTCTATAAACACAAGAGTTTTCTATATGAACATTAAAACACGCTTGAAGCAATTTATTGAGTTGATGCAGTTTTTGTCCTCTTGAACCCAGCGTTTTCCATAAAGGTAAACGTATATCGAGCAGTATCCAATGAGGAATCTCACCTAACTAATTTTCAGATCATTTGACAACTTTCAAAGGTGTATCAAAAGAAAGGATGCAGGGTCTTTTGCACACTAAAGCGATTCTGCATAACTTTCGCGCTTGTTTTGCAGAATTTCTAAACAAATACTTCTCGACTTCATATTTGGTCGTAAAATCTGACTTCTTGAAAATAAAACGGTAAACATTTAAGTATCATTCGATGCAACTTCTTCTCCTCTTTCTAATAGCCATTCTTTTTTGCAATTCATGCGAAGTTTACAAATAGAACTGCAGTATATGTTCTATCTGAGTGGGCAATGAAGCTATTTCAAAATCTCCATATTATAGAGCTAAAGTCGTTCATTTATTTGAGGTTAGTGATAGTAAAAATCTAGTGGAACTTCAATGTTTCGCAGATTTTGCAGTAGATACAATTATTTGTTCACAGATCTTTCTAAGACTTCTGAAAATTATTCAAAAAAAAAATTCCGGAAAGGAAACCGGACAAAGTTGAAGAATGGCTTTTATTCAAATCATTCATTCGAAAAGTTTGCTTTGTCTGATGCTATCAAGGCTCCTTCAGAAGGCTCAAATCGGAAGAGTGGCGTTGGGGCAAAGCTGTCGATAAGAGATGTCAATCGTGCATTGAATCTTTTCTGAAATATTTATTCATTATTCATTATTTATTCCTTATGCGATTTGGGATGAAATACAAACGAACAAAACTTGCCTGTTTCGATTCCAACAAAATAGGAAACTTGGATTACTATTTGATAGTGCAAAGCAGGCTTTACAGCTAATTTTCAAGCGTCCAAATCAAATTCGAGCGTTCCCATTGTTTGCCAAGATCTAAAACTTGATTTCAAATCCTAAAAAGTTGAACGTTAAAAATTGATGAAGTTTTTCAAAAATCTGAAATTTTTTAGTTCAGTCATATTTCAAAATAATCTCAAGATACTGCCTTTTTAGCTGATGACCCCAAAAGCATCAGAACCGAAATTGAATAGCGTCAAACTCGACATCTACCTCGCGTCACAATGTCCCGATACCACAAGGTAATTCAAACATTGATTTTCACAGTTTTTCAAAGTTATTAATTGCAGATTCATCCGCACACAATTGATGAAGGCATGGTCATTGTTATCACACACACATAGGGTAGAACTGACACTGGTTCCGTTTGGAAAAGCTCGCTGTGTATCGAGAGGGGAAGATTTTGAGTAAGATCTTATCTGATTTTTCCATAGTGATGCAGGTAGAGAGCGGCCGTTTCGCACAATATCAATGAATAACTGGATCGTCTGACTCGGGAAATTTCTTCTCGATTTTGCTTGGGCAAAAGCCGCCGCTCATGGAGTGCGACGGCGGTCTTGCGCGAAAGCGCCTTACAGCATTCGATAGTTCGAAACGGTCTATAATTGTAGACGTAATCTTTAGCAAATATTGAGTGCTCCCTCAATTCAGGCTGTTCGTCACATCAGTTGAGTCATTTTAGGTGTTCTTGTCAACACGGAGCGAATGAGTGCATACTCAATCAACTTATGAACTGTGTTATCGACCGAATCGGATTTCCAGAGAAGACTGTTCCAATCGTGAACTGTATTCAAGGGAGATGGTCTTTTGATGATGCCATGAGCTCCTGTATCGATAGCAACCCTTTACTAAACCATCATCAGTGAGTCCATTTGCTTTATCGCAGAAAGTGCTGCGTCCAAAGTTGCCTGGGCCAATGCCAGGCCTGCGCCGTGCTAGCGCCGTGTCAGAACGTCGAACAATAAATCAATCGGGACGCGTGCAAGTGGGTTCCGGCACGGCGTTAGTACGGCGAAGACATGGCACTTGCACAGGGGCAACTTTGGACGCAGCCTTTCCTTCCCTTACATCCCTACCAAACCCAAGGTATTGGCACAACACTATTATTAGCTCGACATATTTCAGAATGCGTGACTGCGCCACTGGCGCGCGTGGTCGTCGTCTACTTGCGCTTGCCGGAGCGCAGACAGCAGCGCTTCGCCCATCACTTGACTTCGTGCCGTGGGTAATGATCAATGATGTACGAAACGTCGATGCTTTTTATGACCTGACAGAAAATCTCTGCAAAAGCTTGGATCCAGCACCGGAAGAGTGTTCAGCATACCTGCAAAGCGTGAAAAGAGATTAGCACCCGAAACTAGCATTTTCTAAGTGCAGCGTTCTAGAATCGCGATCAATCCTCATTTATTCTATTATAGTCCCTTTCTTAATTCTTGACGGGTACTATGGCCATTTCGGCGTTTGTGATGCTCTATACTTGTTCTTGTGCATCTATGTTCAATTATTGTTTATCATTATGTAAATCAGGGTCTTAACATTTCTACATCTGTAGGAATTTTCTGTTATTGTCGTTTGTTTCAAATTTGATCAGCTCAAAACTAGTGCCTCTCCAAAGTTCACAACAATATTCCTCATGCTTAAACCTCATGAACAATTTTTTTGCTAGTCCTGCTCCATTCGCAAATGAGTAGAATTTATGAAAATTTCGCAGAAAATAAAAGAAACAATTCTTGGAGAATTTTGTATACAATATATAGCTCTACCCTGGAGGTCTTTAAAACACAGAACACCAATAACATTTATTGAGTGAAAACTAACGTGGAAGCTTATGACGTTTCCTCATTGCGGAGCATGTGGCGCGGCTAAACTGCTCTATCATTTGTCAGGTATAAGGGTTAGCTATTCCCTTACCTGATGTGTAGCGGGTTTACATGAGTCTTACTATAATATTTATTATAAATAGTTATATACAAAAGGGGGAAGGGGAAGGCCACAGGCTAGTGCTGGCGGCCGGAGGTCACTGCCAGAGGTTGGCTGTCTTAGGCCAACCTCCTTCTCGAGCAGCTGTTGTAGCTAGCTGCGTCCCGACATCTCCATTCCTTCAGGAAGCTCGTCCTCGAGCTTATGGCATGGTTGGGGTGTCACTGTTGTAGTTGCAATTGACGTAGTTGACGTTCTTCCGGGTAACGTGCGTTGGACTTTGCACGTAATTTACGGCGAGAACATACAATTGAAGTAGTGATATATTGAGATATGGCGGATGTTCTTCCGAGTAACGTGTGTTGGAATTTACACGTGATATACGGCGAGAACGTACAGATTGAAGTAACGCGTGTATTGAAGATACATAATAAATTGAGGATACGGATCCGGTGGATTGCGAGCAACCACGACCTTCACCTAGAATATCCTATGACTTTGAGTAAGATCGTCCTCGAGCTTGAAGGTAGCTGAGGGAGGTGTAGGAGACTGCGGAGAGGTGCTGAATGGGGGTTCCCGACATGATGATGGTAAGAAGTTGGAGTGGAATTGTAGGAGATGGAGATAGACCGATTGATTTTGGGGTATGGTAAAAATGGAGTTGATCGAAGGGCAAATGATTTAACATTTGGGGTGGAATTTACAGCATGTAGAAAAATTGTAGTATGAAATTACTGAACATACGAAATAGAAGGTATGAAAAAAAAACTGGTTAACAGTAAATTATTTTACGGTGATAATAATGGTAAATTAGTGATAAATTCATGATACATATACGCAGAAAAATTTTAACAGTAATTTCTAGGCAATTATAAAACATAATTCAACACATTTTACAAAATTACAAAACTTTGTTCACAGTAACATTTTTTGAATAATTGCATGTAAAAACAGAGGCGTAACGAGTTCATATGTTGAATTGGGCACTGCACACTTTTTTTTCCATTCAACATAAGGGCAAAATTTGTTTGTTACAAAAAGGTTTTTGATGTTGAGCTGCTTAGTGCGAAAGATTTCTTTGAATTGCCTGTTCAAAGAAAATTTTAAGGTTCGTAAATACGCGACGGTGCAGCAAAAATAGGGGAAACAAACTAACCTTAGAGCATAAATAACTGCTCATTGCAAAATATCGAATGTATATAAGAATTTAGCGAGCAATTATTCATCTCCTCTCCTTCGGAATCGATGTTTGGATCCGCTGTAAATGTTTTCTTCAGTTGCAAACGAGGAGTTCGTTTGGCAAACTGAGTTTGTTCAACATTTTCTGGAGTTTTCGGTGGCTTATGTGATATAGCGAGTTTTTGGGGGGAAACTCTAGCCAATGTTGAACTATGAGAATAGATTTTGAGTCTATTCATATGGACACATTGAGTTTTAGTAGGTCCAATCAAATTAGAGATAGTGACACGATCGACTTGCACAACCATAAAAGGGCCTTTCCACTGGTATGTGAATTTTGGACGAATAGTGTCGTCTCTTAGTAATACTAAATCTCCAGTGGAAATTTCCTTAGAAAAAACTTTATTATGGAAATCATAACCTGACTTATACGTCGCTGTTTTGCTGGCGATCTGGTTGCCAACTTCCATAATTGTGGTTTGCAGTGCAGTGGTCAGCTGGTCCGTGAAACTATCAGTTGCGTAGGACATCCTCGAGGGTAACTGATGGACTATGTCGCACCAGGTAATCGGGTGAGGACCATACACAACGAAGTACGGGCTATTTGGCTATTTCCTGTGATGTCGGTTAGATACTAGTGTTGTAAGCGAAGAAGATCGGCTGCAGAAAATCAGACCATAGCTCTTTGGCTTTTGGACAGTAAGCCGTTAGAGAGTCTGTAATCACTTTAACCATCCTTTCAACTTGCCCATTTGCTTTGTGGTTGTAACTTTGTGGTGAACATGTTGGAAATGCCAAGTACTCGGTTCATTTTCGCAAACATTTCACCAGTGTAATTAGACCCACAGTCGGACACTAGTTTGTTAGAAATGCCGTGTTTAGCCATGACATCGTTTATCCTAGCTTTGACAAGAAGCTCTGTTGTCTGGTTGGGATTGCGGTGCAGATTGTGAGTTTGCTGAACTCACAGGCGTGGTGATGAATCGATCACTGTTTTTACACTGTGGTAAAGGACCAACAATATCCGTGTGCAATAATTCAAAAGGAATTGGGAAATTGGATTCGAAAAAGTGTTTTAATTTCCTGGCACAATTGGTTGAGCAATTTCGAGTTGAATTTGTGAGCTTCCAAACGTTTCCAAAAGTATTCAGCAGATATAGCTTTTACGGTTTTCGTAGGTCTAAATGCGATCCCAAAATTGAGTTTGTGTGGAAAATCTCAATGATCTTATCTTGACAGGCCTCATCAGGATTAATCACTCGAGAGGTATTTTGAAAAGTTACTAGAGACAGTCATTACAGAAAAAGAGTATTTACCCAAAGTGTTGGAAAATTATGGTGGTGGAAAATCCAACTCTCCTTTGTAATTTGATGGGCTTCCAAAAATGGAATCGTTCTGAAATTGCTGGATATGATCCAAAGATGGTAGTGTATGCACATGTGCGGATTCTAGTCCGCAATAGGATAACGACTAAGGAAATCGCATAGAGTATTGTGCTTTCCAGCATGATACTCAATCTTGACATCGTACGCCTGTAAGGTGGTTTGGTATTGGGCGAGACGACCCACGAGATCTGACCTATGCATCAGGATTTCAGCAAAGTATGGTCAGTTGTCAAGGTTATGGAACTATTGAAGACACAGGGATAGAAACGATTCAAGGCGACACTATGGCCAGGGCTTCTAGCTCTGTAGTCACATAGTCCTTCTCGTGTTTTGTTAATGGACGGCTGCACGCTATTGGATGTTCACTACTGGTCCCCGGGTTGACTTGTAGGAGGCATGCGTGCTTCCACTAAGGCTTGTTTCAGTGTTAAGAATGCTTTTGAATGACCCTCTTTCTAGTTAAACTCTGCATCTTTGATGAGAAGATTATTCAAAGGGTTCGCTGTCATGAAAAAACGCGGAATAAATCTTCGATAATAGGATGCTACTTTTAGGAATTATTTGAATCTTGGAGGTCAGCATTCTGCGCTAGATGTAACAGCGACTTGATTTTTGAGAGCGCCTAGCAAAAATAGAAGTATTTACGTAGGGCCTAAGTTTACTGCAGATTTTAATTTTGAGCTAGCTAATGCGAACAAGTCCATAGTCTGATGGAGAATTTAAAATTAAAGGAAATAAAACTTTTCGAAAATCTCGGTTCTCGGATCTCGGGTCTCGGTTCTCGGTTCTCGGATCTCGGGTCTCGGAATTTCACGGATGCTAATTACGAAGAAAAATATGAGAGAAAAAATTACAGTTTCTAAAATTTTACGGTTGCAAAATGAAAGAGAAAAAAATCAGGGGAATAAAATTGATACTTCAAATAAATCACAATTACGAAAATAATCTAGAATCTCGGTTCTCGGATCTCGGTTCTCGGTTCTCGGTTCTCGGATCTCGGTTCTCGGATTGATTAATTTTATATATAATAAATTTAGATTTGGGAAAATTTATATCGACGTTTGGGACTGTTCGCAGGACTTTTTTTAATATTATAATTTTATCTGTACATATTTTTTTCTGAAAAGATTGCGTGTGCTTAAAAAAAATTAGGCGGAAATGCGGTCTGATGACATCTTAAGTGAGATAGCGCATATGTCTTGCAAACTTGTGCACTTTTGTTTTGCAAGCAAGTTGCTAAGTATTGCCGGTTTTCCAAGCGCACCGTTAGAAAACTCATTCTCGAATGGCTGATTCAAACTAAAGTAGAAAACTACACTTGCTTACTTTTTTTTTCTGTCAAAATCAAGGAAATTTTAGAGTAATCTTTACAAAAGAAAAAAAACACTTGCGTGGGAAAAGTTTCAGTTTTGCAAATTCTAAAAAAATAATCTCAGTAAATACAACTCAAAAATCTCCTCAGATGTTGTGCTTAGCTTCTTCTCGTGTTTCTCTAACAAAATCTTGACCTTCACCTGTTGTTGCATGTATTTTCTTGATCAGGACTTTCCGAACTAGTTGTATGAAATCCATGCTTTTCCAAGAGCAAAAATAGCCATAAAGCGACATCTTTTTACGTTTCATGTTGTTTTCTCATCAAAAATTATGAAATATATTACCAAACTGCTTCACTTATCACCGTTGTGCTTGAAAGCGATGCTTTTGACTCTACTTCTCATGCAGTGGAACAAATCAGAGCTAAATGACACGAAAAAAA